AATCGAAAATCTTGGTCGTCAGTACACTTCATTTCGACGCACGCCACGCCCACTGTGGGCGGGGCTCCGCTTAGCTGATGTGTGTTTTGTACTTCGTGAGACCTTGCCCACCCATCCCACACTTGACCCGGTCCCTCCAGGCGGATCCCGAGGAGCTAGGGAATTTCGTGACAGACATACAGAACGACAGACAGAACGACAGACAGAACGACAGACGACAGACGAAGCGCTTTATAGTAGGTAGGATGGGTATGTTTAATGGTCCATCCGCTAAATTTAAGTTTTAGCTAGTCTTAACCTATTGATAAGCACTTACACCGTGGTTGAGCTACCATTCTAACGTGATCACGACTTCGATATGACCCTTCAATATGCAAGAATTATACACAGCGTTTCCTCTACGATTTACAAGTGGTAAAGCGCACAGCGGGACGCTAAGCTTCCGTAGGGAAAGAGAAGCCTTGTCTGTTGCAGGAAAACGAAACTTGTTGTATGAAAGAGTATAGGACTCTCTCGCACGCTTGTGAACTCGATGGAATTTGTTGAATCAGGAGATCGCCTAACACTTTTGCGGTTGCGAGTTATCAGTGCACCACCTCTTTAGTAATCATATTTTCAATCACATTTGAATCCATCCTCCAAAAATGAACATTAAACTTTGGCAAGCAATCTTGAAAGGTTGGATTTAAGTGACAGCATTTCACCTGTCACTTCCACTATCCATAGTGGAAGCACTGGAACTTGAAAAAGCTATTGTAGGATCGTGCGAGAACAAACAATCTCGTATTATGCAGGAATTATTTTACCTGCGTGCATATGTACTTAAATTGGTCGGGCATTGTCATCCAGCTTGCGTGAATATAATCATCATCCGACGGTCTGTCTTTCAGAACGACACGCGTTGAATCGATACAAATAATGTCATTGTACCTGAAGTTTCTCCTGTAAGCGCTTCACCAAACGTGGTGTGCTCTAAATTAATTGTTAAAGCCGTTATATTCTGGTAATTTATCAACAGCAGTATATCAACCAAACTCTAAAATACGGAGAGCGCCACTGGACAATCACTCGCCTTGGTAAGCTATCTAGCGCACGAGCCCTCATTCACTCATTTGACCCATTTCGAGTTATCGTTATCATTTCAAGTTGCCGTCAAGGGCTCATTTCCGTTCGCTGGTGTCAGAAGAAGAAAGACAAGAACATGCAAAAGCTTTTGGCCCTTGAAAATTTCTGGAACGAATTCGGAAACTTAAGAATTTGCACTCCATAGATTTCAAATTTGCTCGGATCTGGACTTTTCTTTTTAGAAATTGTATTGGTAGGCTAGCCTAAGGCAACCAAGTGGTTTAGTAATCAAGTTCTATAAGCAATACTAAATGGAATATAACGAAAAGCAATTTACCTGTTTTTTGGCTCATTTTTATCGTAGGCTTCCGTAGTATATTCGGGTGGCTTATATTTCTTGTTGGTAGCAAATTCCTTTGAGAGTATTTTGATCGGCTGAAAAGTGATAGTAGTTGCATTTACCGTGCGGTGGAATTTCTATGCTAAAACGTTTGTTTAATAAGCCTTTACTGAAAAATTTCATGAAAAGCGTCTATGAATGTGCATGAGCGAAGTTCCTTATTGAGATGCGAATCTGGTAAATTTAAATACTCTATTTGAATAATATGCATCATTCATGCACGGATGAGAAATTGTGAAACAATCCATAAAAACATTCTCAAAAAATATCTACAACCTTAGAGGATACTATCGTAGCTGCCCATCTGGACCGATTGTCATTGTGCAACGCGGACACTGGACCATTTTCAACTTCCGTCTGGAACCAGCAAGCTTTCCATTCTGATCAGTCAGCAATCGAGTTCCTATCACGACTCTTTCATAATTGTGTCTTTAGTCGTAGCTACACACGCCCATCTTCACTTGTAATCTCAACACCTTCCATCACTATGGATATTGGTAATGGACAAATACTTTGCTCCAACGAGAATCCAAATCTTGCTTTCCGAGCATGTGCATTGGTAGTTTCTAAGTGTGAAATAATACTGCGCCTATCGTAAGAGTAGACGCACTCTTCACAACTGCCATCATCAAATTTCAGAGAAGTTAATATCAAAAATGCGTGCCGTCATCAGAATTAGCATCCCGATACACATTTGCCTACCAGCTTTCGTCTAAATTAGAGAAAAAATGCCTGGGCCTGGAATGGAACAACGACTGCGATAGTATGGGTACGTGCTAAGGAGGCCACAGGATCATCCGATAAGAACAGCAATGGACTTCGAAGCGCAAGGCAAGCGACCGCGAGGAGCCCCAAAGAAGAGGTGGAAAGACGTCATCAAGAAGGACCTAACTGAAGTCAGGGCCACAGCAGAAGATGCCCTAGATAGAACAACATGGCGACGGCTGACAAAGACTAGCGGACCCTGCGGATGCGCGGGAAAAAGGCTAGGGAGAAGGAGAGCGAAAAGATAGTTTTTCAAGGCTTGGTCGCTACTTGGGCTGTATTGGAGGTAAAGATGGTATCTTACAGGGGCTCAAGAACTGCTGTTCAGCAATGAGTTCACAGAATTGAGCAAAACTTATCAACCCAAACGACACCATTAGTGAGTGCATGCGCACGTCAAAAAGTCGTCCATAATCATGACAACTCCAACCCTGCACGCTCAAATGCTCCTAATAATGAATAAGTCACGATAACAAACGTGCTAATTTATTGAACCTACGTTTTTACCATCTATCGCTACTTTTTCAGCGAGCTCACGCAGACAGCTGCGATAGTGCTGCAAATGTAGGTTCAATAAACTAGCACGTCTAGCTGTCATGTTTTGCCGATTAATCAACCCTGATTCGAAGTAACAGGACAGCAGCAGCAGATGGCATCCCAGTAGGTTTTGGTAGTTAGTTGGATTCATGCATTTGTCAGTGAAGGTTTTATTTTGCTTTCCGCATGCGTAGAATTCCAATCAATCGGTGGACATTGCCGCCACTCATGTTGCTTGCTGAACATGCTTCGTCCCTTTGTAGAGGAATTTCCAGTGGTAACCGTCCGTGTTTGCGGACAATGTTGAATATATTCCTGCCAAAAGATATCAATGCTATGAAGAAGTTTGTCTCAGGAAGCCTTATGAGATCGACGTCCAAATTGGCTATTTCGCTGTTTAATCTTAGGAAAAAAGGACCAAACAAGGTGATCTTAAAATGGCTTGCTTCGGAAAGGAAACAGTAAACTTCTCTGAACATCGATGACCATGATAACGGAAACCGAGGCAAGCCGTCCAGTCCGGCCTCCTCACTCCTCCGGCCTGCCATACGATTCAATATGCTTGCAGGAATTCGTGTGACCTTAACACATCCTATATCCTCAGAAGAGCGAGGCTCTCAGACTGCGCTGTGCACGGCGTGAATCTGAAGCTGCTACTTTTTGAATGAAAATGAACCTGGTGGGATTTAATGATATGATTAAATTGTTCCGTGCCTAGGCGATGGCTTTTTATTCGGCATCCTTTTTTTGAACTTTCCTGTTTTAAATAAATTTAAATAATGTGTTGTACTTTCGATACAGCCGTAGGAGCAACCTACTTTTGAAGAACGTTCTTCA